TAGTTCAGATCCGTCGAAATGCAAAATGTTGCTCCGAGATTGCTATGAGATTGACTTGCGTCGGCATCTGAAACCCTGAGAGTGAGTGAAGCAGTTGAGTGTGTTGAGTGCTTAATCTATCTCTGGAATCTTATCAGTGCTGATAGCTCGGTGACTGACAAAACCTCGGCTACTGTCGAGCCTCTACATCGATGGCTGATAACCATGTTGTTTCTTTGATGCTAGTGTATTGGGATATTAGGGTGGAATAAAAGCAGCACATTCCATGTTTTTTTTGATGTTGCATTGGCGCTACATAATATACGGTGTAGAATCTTTTTTGAATGTTTTGTTTTTTGGAACATCCCTCCATGTTTATATATTTTTGTTATGACGACGGACTCTTTCTGTTGACATTTTGGTATTTTATTTGATTCCATTTTGAGATTTTATCATTACATATTGTTATTATTTCTATATTTTTTACTTATATTGAAGTTTTTATGTTTGCTTCTGAACTGTACATATGTTGTTTAAATTTGATATAATATGGCTACAGCCACATTTTTGGATTTGATATCGTTGCAGTATACGAGTTTCACCTAGTCTCCGGAACCTGGATACTCATTCAGAGTAATTTTGAATTGGAAGACGTAAAAATCGTTAGGTAACGTTTGTATTTCCATTTCTTCTCTATAAATAGCCACTTTCTTCTAGAATTATTATGTTTTGATATTCGAATAACGGAGGGTGCGTCCAGCATACGTCTATTGGAATCGAATTGAACTGCTACGGTAGAAAATCAAACTACATACGGTACTTGCATTCTGTGCATAACACGTCTGTGAAATAATAATATTTGGTACATTCGTTTTGAAATTATTTACAAAGCTACTCAGACCACTCGTCAGTAAACCAATTTATTTTTTACAACGCCAATTTTTCTGATCAATTAAACCAGGCGCCTACACGTTCAGAGTGTAGGATTTGATTTGTCCTACAGATGTAATTCTACAACAGTAAACGCAATACTGGCGAGCACAGAGTCTATGGTAAAGCTGTAGTAAGTAAAAGTCAACTTGGTTTTAAACTTTATCTGTTTCCAAACAAAAAAATGATTAAATTAGTACAATAAATAAGGAAATTACAATTATCAAGTAAGACGAGCAAACGTACCAACCAGTAAAGCGTGTCTTTAGAAAATGAATAAAAACATGAGTCACATCAATATAATACAATAATAACGTCATTCAATCATTAGGTCATTTACAACAATGAAGGTTTACAGACTGGTCAGACTAGATAACGTGGTGAGCGCTTAAAACAATCTGATTGCTTAGTTATGGCTTAACTACAATTATTTATAAAATAACTAACACAGAGTACTACGCCAACCCATTGCCAGCTTACGGCTTAGGGATCATCTGTATCACTCCTGACTTAGTACTAAGGAAACTAAAATCCTTACGCCCAGGTAAGTCACCAGGTTGTGACAAAATTCGCCACATAGTCTTGAAACAATGTGCAGAAGTCCTCTATTCACCGATATGCGACCTGTTCAGGCATTCACTGGAGTCACATCAATTCCCAGCTGAATGGAAACAAGCTACTCTCTCCCCAATCTTCAAAGGAGGAGATAGAAAGGACCCAGACTGTTACAGACCAGTCGCACTACTACCAATATTCTCAAAGGTTATGGAAGGGCTAGTGGACGAATAAATGAAGAAGTACATGGATAAGAACCAAATACCTCATGAAGCTGAAAACGGGTTTCGGAAAGGTAGATCGTGCGCATCTAATCTTCTCATTGCATGGGACAGTTGGCATCCTGTTTGGACCGTAAAATACCTGTGCACCTAATATTTCCACACCAGTCCAAAGTATGTTGGGGATGCAGCCAAAGCAAATGCGACTCTTCACTTTATGTGAAGACAGCTTGGTGCTATCACCCTAAAATTATTTTTAACCATGTTTAAGACGTACGCGCGCCCACACTTGGAAGTTCACAACGTCATCGCACCCCCTCTGATTAAAAGAGACATAAATCTCTTGGATCGTGTGCAGAGACGAGCAACGAAATGGGTGATAGGGTTGAAAAATAAACCCTACGACGATAGACTCCAGCTCTTGGGATTATTTCCACTGAGATACAGGAGAATCAGAAGCGATCTGATTATGGCGCACACCATATTAAACACGCCAAACCATCCCAATGTGAGCATCTTACCGATGCATCACCACCACTCTCCTCGAGGCAATCCTCGAAAGATTGCACATCAAAGAGCGAATACTCAGATTCGTGCACACTTTCTCTCATTGCGAGTCGTCGCAACTTGGAATGCTCTCCCAGCCGAGGTAGTTACAGCCTCCTCAGTGGACAGCTTTAAAAAGAGACTTGATAATCACATACGGATTATCATATCCCTCTTGGACAAGCTGTTCATGATGCATATCTTGAGACCTGCTAGTTGTTATCGTTGCCATCTACTCAGATCACTTACTTAAGCTATCTCGCCTAATAACTTTGTTCCCTCTCCCTTGCTTACACTACGGTCCTTTCTCACAATCTTTACTACCAATTAACAAACTAAATTCATATATATACTACTCAGTTCTGAACTTTTATTCATATTAGCATTAGAATTTTATCCTCATTATCCTTATTACTCTCCACATTGCAAATAACTGATCTCCGGTCTAGTAATGTGAAAGCTGCTGGTATCCAGAAACCCTACTGCCCTGAGACAAACGTTACATTCAAATCCCGAGACATACAAACTCACAACCAACTGCCAAATGACTAAAAGTAGACAGTCGAGTGGCTAGACCATCATCCATGGGAAATTACCGAACACCTGGAACCGTACCGAAAGAACAAGAATCGAGCGCGAAGATTACACTAGCTCGTGAAAAAGATATTGGATATTGGAACAATTGCTGAGCTTCGTTACCCACAAGATTTCCAAGGTCGAACCAATGGATGGGAGGCTGTTTTAACCTATCAGTGACTTACTAGACGCCTTTGTAATGTATTTTTCAAGATTATCATGCTTTCGAAATTTTATTCACACTTCAAGAAGATTAAAGCGTAAGATCAATTTACAAATCGCATTGGTTTAGTCCCTATCCAAGTAAAAATGCCGTCTCTGTCTCCAACCATGTCCGAAGGCTCAATCGTTAACTGGGTGAAGAATGAAGGTACTTAATAGTTCTTTAGCGATATACAATTTTGATAAGGAGAGGAGATAGTCGCTGGAGACGTTCTTTGCGAGGTTCAGACGGACAAAGCTGTTATTTCGTTTGAGTCCGAGGAGGATGGTATACTGGCCAAAATCTTGGTGTGTTTATTTACATTATTCATTGTCTTGTATATTAGCTTTTGTCACTTTTACAATTTTACCGATCATACTTCTATTTGTTTACTTCCCGACACTTCGGCATTGTACCTCATAAGACAAACTGTGCGTCCCTTGTATTACGCAAGTAAACTCACATACCATTAATGCTGTATTTCGAATGGCCTTCGTTTCTTGTGCTTAGAGATTTCGCAATATGACTTAACCAAATAAAGTGAAAACCAAGTGTTACTCTTAAGGCTTGTACTTAATCAGTTTTTGAGATCTGAACTAACCTGAGAGTCGTCTTACATTAAATCACCGTATTTTGACGTTGCTTTTTCACGGCAAGTCAGGAATCTATACGAGTCTCCTTATTATCTAGTTGATTCACTAAAGATCAAATCATACTTCCCATTATTTTTATCTTTTCTGTCCTACTAAACAAGTTTCAGTGCTCATAATTGTTAGTATTCAGTTTATTTAAATGAAGCATTTCTCATTTATGGACTGACTGAATGTAACATTTTAAACATCGTGCATACAGGATACCTGCACATGCAAATTTTACGCCACTGCAAGTGTAAATTTTTTTTTCAGACAGTTTTTTTACTACCAGCACAGTGGCTTTGATCTGATTCATTGTTTAAGTTATCACATCAGGTCCTAATATTACTATAAGAATGTTCGCCTTGTTTTTTAATTACCTCGTCGGAGAAAAGCGACTCTCATCCTGTTTTGTTTTTCCCAGTCAGTCAGTTACACCGTAGAAATTCGTACGTACGCGCATAAGTTCATGTTGCCATACCACATTAGCACAGAGACTCAGCTGCCATTTCAGACCCCATAGTGGTAGAGATAGTAGAAGCATTAGCGGTAAAGGAGAAGAATAGGGTTCGAAGATATGATTCGAGAGGTATGACTCAGTGGGATGACTTTAGTAAGGGAAAGATAGAGATAATGAGGAATTCTGAAGATTAGAACTTGAGAGAACACAAAGAGTTGATGCACCTGCGCCATTGCAACCGATTTTAAGCCATTTCGTTCAAGGTCTTTAACCATCAGTGACTTTCATCTTGCGGACCACAACCAGGTAGTCTACACGTACCAACATGACTCAGTCCACTTATCAGTGAATTCATGGTTAGCAAACAGATATCCCGCCGACGCCATCAGTGGCGCAAGTTGGCAAAAGCCAATCGAGCCTTCTATGTCCGTGTTGAGATTTCGTCAGTCACCGAGCTATCAGCACTGATGAGACTCCAGAGATAGATGAAGCAGTCAACACGCTCAACTGCTTCACTCCCTCTCAGGGGTACAGGTGCCGACACAAGTCAATCTCGGAGCAACATTTTGCATTTCGACGGGTAGAATCTCATCCCGAACATGCTTGCATTATTGCTAAGGATAGTCAGAAGACTGCATGTTGTCAGCGTCTTCACCAAATAGGAATGTGTCATCAGCATTTTCTGAGTCAACAAGTTCAACTCCAGAAGAGTCGAACAATGAAAGTGTCCTCTCTCGAACCAGGTCAATGACAAAGTTAAATAAAACTGTACAAACCGGATAGTGCTTAACCTTTTTAAAAAAGTATTCGGGTAATCCCATCTCATCCTGTTGAGTAGGACTCGAAGGGGTTTCCTTGCTCTGTCTTTCTTTCGTTTAGTAAGACACAGACAAATACGTGCTCCTACCAGAGCATGATCTGAGTCCAAACATGTGGTCCAGAATGTGCCACAGTCTACTATCGAGCCTCCGTCGATAGCTGATAACAATGTGGTTTCTTTGAGTCCAGTTTTGAGGTGGTTTTGGGGGTCGCCATGTCGAAAGATGTTTTTCTTTATGCTTATAGTTGATGTTGGCGCGAAATCGGAGGTTATCTGATCATAATTCATGTAGCCGGTCGCCGTTGTTTTTTCGATCAGTTTCAACTCTATATGAACAACCCAGATACTTCATTTTTGCTTAGTCCACCGAGATCGGCACCAGTCACCAACCATTTTTATCGCATCAGAGCGCCTTACGCTTGAAAAATATTAGTAAGCTCTCTGTTAAACCCATCTCCCATGTCATCTGACCTTCAATCAGTGGGAACGTAGCCAAAGACAACGAAGAAGTAACAGCTAATGTCCCTATGTTTCCCAGTCCCTCCTGTCCCGTTTAGTCGTACTACTCATCAGCGACCATCTGCTGCAATCCATTATAAGAGAGCTAGTGCTGCCCTACGACTCAATGCTATACCTACGTCAGCGAGGCCACAGGAAGCAGCGTCAGCACCTCCAGGTACACGAAGGTGAAGTCAAATTATTCATTTTACTCGGATTCTGTATGCGCGTCTCTAAGACTCAGCATATATTGATGGCAAGCTATCCCAGATTCCTAGCTACTTGGCACAAGGTTTCGGGCATCAAACGCTTCAAAATGTAGTTTGGAGGTGGCGAAGAGATGAAAGGAGAGTTGGTTGTGAGGATAAGGGATGATTACAAGATGTGAAGAGGATTTGACTGTCGCTCATTTTCTCTTTTGAGCAGTTACTTATCTTAGTTAGGACTTCACCTCCCTGTAGGATTTATTTTGGATTTGTGTTGATTCGTATGTCGATTAGGAAATGTTAGCCTATTGCTTACAAATTGGGATTGTGTCTCCAGCGTCGAGGACACAACTGCTTGAGGCCGATCACTCACGGCTTCACCGTCTGAGATGGTAATCGGTGAGGTAAGATGAGTCAAGACAGTTTTTCGGTCAACCTTTTTCACCCCTTTCTTCCACTGTGTTTGGGCAGGTTTTTCGCTTATTTTGGTTGACCGTGAGACTCACCGTACTGCTGTCACACCTCTCTACACTCTGCATTATGACTTCGCCCTCAGATCTTGAGTTCCTGCTTTTAGTCTAAACGTTCTCCAATCGATCTGCCTGGCATAGTACGACCTGAAAGAAAATATGTTCCAGCAAATACAGCTTCGTTGGAAAGTCACTATTAACATGTCCTACCATCACGTCATAATAGTAATACATTGATTCTGATATTACTACATGTTGCAAGCGGGATGCTAGTTTTTAGGGTAGGTAAAATGGTTACAAATGCTACAAAATTTACTTTAAATGTTGATGAAGCATAAATTAGATAGAAGTGTCTGTTTCTAAAAGCATATTTACACCAATTCAGTTGTTTGTTAATTTTAAGGTCAGGAATTTCTGAAACACTGATCAAGTATTTGTATGGTGATAAATCGTTTATGGTTTTGATTAATGTCAATTTCAGTTTGACCGTCCTTTTATTTATCACTCACGTAGGGTATTGGATTGTATTTCAGTGCAATTACGGTTGATGTGATTGTTTTTAGACTTGTAGCAGGTGGTTAGTGGTTGCTCAGTTTTAGCATACTCAGCTGAGATAATGATTTTATCTGTAGGCGAATAATACAAACCAATTCTGTTGCGGACAGACCTAGTGACAGTCTATAGGGTTGCTTTAAGGATTATCCATTTGTGGGCTCGCTATGTGTTTGATGTTGGCCACAGTCCCTACAAGGGGACGTAAGTGTCTGTTTCAGATGGATTCTAGGAAGTAGTAAATGGTGTTGGGTGACTCAATTTTTGGTCGGTTGTATTTATATTACATGTTGGAGCATTTAATGTACGTACATTATGTCAAATAGGGCAACAGGCATCATTAGCTATGACTTAAGAATGTTGTGCCGTCGATGTATGCTGTGTCTCGGAAACGTGCATACAGGATCCAAGTAAAATTATTAATCTGATTTCACCTTGTTAAAATAAAGAGGCAGCTCGATTTACTCTTCGTGTATCCGGTAGCCCTGATGCTTCTTCCAGGGGTCTTGCTGGCGTAGGCATAGCGTTGAGTCGTAGAGCTGAACAATCTCTCCTTGACTGGATCCCAGTAGAAAGTCGCTTGTGCGCCGTCCGACTGAACGGGACATTGAGGACTCGGAAAGATAGGGACACTCGCCGTTGCCTCTTCGTCGTATCTCCCGACCGTAGCTGCTACCTTGACGTGGTGGTCGGGCTTGCCTATCGTGATGACCCAACCGAGCTATACTGGTTGGAACATATGTTCCTCAAGGTTCTACCATGCCAGACAGGTCGATTGGAGAACGATGAGACTAAAAGCAGCTACCCAAGGTCTGAGGGCGAAGTCGTACTGCTGACTGCAGAGGGGTGTGACAGCAGTAAGGTGTTTACCTCGGACATCCAGCATCTGCAGCGATGCTGCCTTCTCACAAGGAAGGAAGGGTTAGAAAAGGTCGGCCCTAAAAATGTCACACCTCCCCTAACTCACGGATTTCCGTCTCCTTGGGTAAGGGTCCCCACTGAGGGCCTTTAAGAACGGAGCTAATCCTCAAAAAACATTGCATAAAAAGGCCGTGCGTGACCGGCCTCAAGCAGTTGTGCCTTGGGCTCTGCGGTCACGCACCAACACTAATCTATCTTCCTTTTCAGGTCTCTCAAGAAACAACCTTCCACGATGTGGGCAGCCGTGAGGTAACAACCGCCCTCATACCCGTAACAGCACGCGAGACCGAATTGGTCGAAGTCAAATCCTTCCTACACACCCTAGTATCCCTCTTATCTCCACGACTAACTCTACTCGCATTCTTTTATCTCACTGCACCGCCAATGCAAACGATGCGGGTTCACGAAAAGTTAATCCTGGCCTCCTGAAACCCAGTTCTAAATTATATGTTGAACTTTTTAATGTACGGGACATTGTGTCAAATAGGACAACAGGCATCATTAGCTATTACTATAGAATCTCGTGCCATCGGTGTATGCTGCGTCTCGGAAACGCGCATACAGGATCCTAGTAGTCGTTAATTTGACTTTACCTTGTCAAAATAAAGAAGCAGCTCGATTTACTCTTCGTGTATCCGGTAGCCCTGATGCTGCTTCTAGGGGCCTCGCCGGTGTAGGTATAGCATTGAGTCGTAGGGCAGAACAATCTCTCCTTGACTGGATCCCTGTAGATAGTCGCTTGTGCGCCGTCCGACTGAACGGGACAGTAAGGACTCGTAAAGATAGGGACACTCGCCGTTGCCTCTTCGTCATATCAGCCTACGCCCCCACTGACTGCAGTTCAGACGGGGTTAAGGATGAGTTTTACAGAAAGCTTTCGGACCTCCTCCAAAAAGCTAGGCGATCTGATATAGTAATAATTGCTGGTGACTTTAATGCTCAAGTAGGTAGACTAATTGAAAATGAAATACACCTAGGTGGATGTTATGGTGTCGCGGTTCAGAGAACAGACAATGGCGACCGTCTGTTGCAACTGTGCTCAGATAATCAACTATTCCTAGCAAACACAAACTTTAGGCATAAGGGAAAGTATCTCTTGACCTGGCGACCTCCAAAGTCGTCTCAACGTTGGACCCAACTAGAGCACATCGCTATCAGCCACCAATGGAGGGGTTCGACAGAGGACTGCCGCTCGTTCTGGGGCACATGTTTAGATTCAGATCATTCCCTAGTGCGAGCGCGTATTTGTTTAAGGCTTACTGGGCGTGGGAAAGACACCGTAAGGAAGCCTCTTAGGGCTTTACTTGTTGATAATCAAGCTAAGAAAACACTTCAGGAGGAACTAGAAAAACAGTTAGGCGGCTATGCAAGTGATTCCCATCCTGAAGCAGGTTGGAATCATATCAAGAAGGCTGTGGAAACAGCGATGGTATCTGCTAGCAAGGTAAACCACAAGGCTAGGATGAAGCAGTGGATCTCAGCAGCATCCACCGATCTGATGGATGCCCGAAAACTCATCCCACCTGGCTCTGAACATGATGACAAACATTTAGGCGTCCTACAATAGTTGTTTTCCTGGACCTTAAGGCGGCATTTGACTCTGTGGATCTTGAGGTTCTGTGGCAGTGTCTGTCATTGAAAGGTGTACCAAATAAGTACATTAACCTCATACAAGCTCTCTACTCAAACACCACTGGTCGAGTGAGAGCTTATGGCGAACTGTCATCTCAATTCTCTACTTCAAGTGGTGTCCTTCAGGGATGTCCACTTTCTCCATTCTTGTTTAATTTTATCATAGACATGCTCCTAGTAATAACCTTATCCTCGTCTGAATTTTCTGGAGTAGACCTTTTACCAGGTGGCTCGCTTATTGACTTAGAATATGCCGATGACATAGTCCTACTTGGTGAAGACGCTGACAAAATGCAGAGTCTTCTGACTACCCTAAGCAACAATGCAAGCATGTTCGGGATGCGGTTTCCCCCCTCGAAATGCAAAATGTTGCTTCAAGACTGGGTTGCATCGCCACCTGAACTAGTGATAGGGAGTGAAGTAGTCGGGCGTGTTGATCACTTCACTTATCTGGGGAGTCTCATCAGTTCTAATAGCTTGGTGACTGACGAAATCTCAACACGGATACAGAAGGCTCGATTGGCTTTTGCCAATCTGCGTCACTTATGGCGTAGGCAAGATATCCGTTCGGTAACCAAAGGACGGTTGTATTGCGCAGCAGTTCGCTCCGTTCTCCTATATGGATGCGAAACACGGCCGTTAAGAGTAGATGTTCGTAGGTTCCTGGTTTTGATCGTAGGTGTATCCGCAGCATTGCTCGAATATCCTGGGACACCCGAGTGAGCATCGCTGTTATTATGAAACGGGTGCTAGGTCAGAATGGCAGATCAATAGATGAAGTGGTGAAACTTCACCAGTTGAGGTGGTTGGGACATGTGTTACGTATGCCTAACCACGACTGCCTTGACGAGCTTTGTTTTGTAGTGTAGTAGTAGGTTGGAAGAAAGTTAGGGTCGGCCAAAGCAAAACATGGCAGAAATCCATGAAGTCATTGACAAGTGGACTGAGCCATGTCGGTCGTTGTTGACTACCTGGTTGGGGTCCGCGAGATGATAATATTCGATGGTTAGAGACCCTGAATGGCATGGCTCAAAATCGTTTGCAATGGCGCCGGTGCATTTAATCTCTGTGTTCTCTTAAATCGTAACCTCCTGGATTCTTCAACACCTGTAGTCTTTTTTTTCTTTCTAAACCTATCTCATACTTGAATACTATCTTCTAATCCTAACCTCTCCGATTACTCCCAATACCGTTTACTACCTCTTCTGTGCTGATGTGGTATAGCAACATGAACTGATGTACTTACGTACGAAGTTCTACGTTGCATCTGACTGACTGAAGAAACGAAAGGAGAGTTGGTCGTGAGGATAAGGGAGTGATTAAAAGGTGTGAAGAGGATTTGACTGTCATGCATTCGGTCTCGTATGCTGTTACTGATTTGACGTCGGTAGGACCTGAAGGATTATATTTTCCAGCTAATATAGCTTGTTTGAGTCATCACTAGTAGCAAGTCTGACCAACACGGTATGTTAGCAGCTGCGGTAGGTGTCAGTATGAAGGACTTTTAACGATCAAACGTACTTTTGTTAATTTTGCAATGTTTTGATTAATCAAGTGAATTTTTTGTGTCATTCAAAATGTTATAACCACATTATTTTATGTAATTAAAATGTCAATTTACTATCTAATTTGTTTTATAGGCACCTGGTGGGTCATCAAATATCAAAGTCGGTGATTTAATCGCTGTAATCGCCACTCCAGGAGAGAATTGGCAGGAGGTTGCTGCTTCTGCACATTCATTATCTCCGCCAAAAACAGCTGGCAGTACGCCAAATCAAGCGGAGACAAAAGCTATAACTAAGGAATCACAGCCATCTCGCTCCTTAATAGGACCTGCGGTTCGTCTCCTCCTACAGTTACACGATATCAATGAGTCTCAAATACGGCCAACGGGACCACACGGTCAGCTGCTTAAAGGGTGAGTTAAACTAGTTTTGTGAGATCTGACTGCGTATTAAGCGTTCACTGTGATTATAATCCCGAAATTCTAGTGATTTGTTCAACTTTCTGTCAATTTTCGTATTCTAAAAATCATAACTCAATTAACTTTCACTCGTGTTTTCCCACGTTTATTTTAAAGAGACTCTCTGAATCCCCTCCAAGATTCTTTTAATAACATAAACTGGACATATTGGTGGTTCCTTTTATTTTAAATGTGAATAAATTGGTTTTCGGATAACCTGATTATGTAACTCGTTTACTAAATAAAATTTTTTATACTCGTCGAGCTACGCTTTATATAAAGGGTGATACTATAATTCAGTTTCCTAAACGGAAGTATATGGCAAGTTTTCTGACCTACGATCACATAGTCGAAAACTTAGTACTTCAGTCACCAAACTACTACTCTGATTTCGTTCGTATTCACCTATTATTCTCTATTTTTAAGTGCTCCATATATAACACAGGCCTCGTTCATCTGCGTTCGCTAGTGTCCTTATTCCCGACTTACCAAATCGATTATTGGGGCTCGTAGCTCATTTATTAAAGCATTCAGCTACCAATCAGTTAGCTGAAGGTCTTAAATGGTTACTAGGTCTCTGGAAATTTATCTCATCAATTCACATGACAAAGTTAAGCATATTGGATTGTTGGCTAATATACAAGGACTGGCTGTTAATATTTCTGGATTGATGACATGGTATATCTAAGGCATATAGCTTCTTAATTATATTTCTATTCATTTCCTTTAAACTATCTAACAATAGTTCTGCACTCTAATAATGAGAATGGAAAGTGGGAATTCACCTAGTTAATAGTTAAAGATCAAAGCACGATTATGGTAAAGTGAAGCAAGGGAAAACAGGTACTCTCAATAGTGAAAAAGTAGTTCTGATGTTTTGTAAAAATAATCAACTGGTGTTTAGGTCTACAGTAGTTTTATTTTTTAGAAGAGAGTTTTTTAGGGTCACAACAGTTTAACTGAAGGTTTAGTTCATGCATTGCGTTCTTGGATTCTAAATTTTCTATTGTGCCTTATTATTGAGAATATAACGTAACATATCAGTCAGTCAGTCAGTCAGTTGCAACGTAGAACTTCGTACGTATGTACATAAGTTCATGTTGCCATACCACATTATTAGCACAGAGACGCAAGTGTCAAATCAAATCCCATGGTGATAAAGATGGTAGAGGTATTAATGTTATAATAAAGAAGACTAGGGTTTAAGATATTATTCAAAAAATATAATTCAGTGAGATAAGGTTAGAGAGACAAAGGTAGAGGTGCTGCCAATTCCAGAAGATTAGGATTTGAGAGAGCTCAAAGAGTGGATGCACCTGCGCCATTGCAAACGATTTTGAGCCATGTCGTTCAAGGTCTCTAACCATTGATGACTTTCGTCTCGCGGACCCCAACCAGGTAGTCTACATCTACCAACATGACTCAGTCCACTTGTCAGAGACTTCATGGATTTCTGCCATGTTTTGGTCTGGCCGCCCCTAGCTTTCTTCCAACCTACTCCTACACCACAAAACATAGCTCGTCGAGGCAGTCGGTGGTTAGGCATACGTAACACATGTCCCAACCACCTCAACTGATGAAGTTTCACCACTTCATCGATTGATCTGCCATCCTTACCTAGTACTCGTTTCCTAACGACAGCATTGCTTACTCGCCTGTCCCACGATATACGAGCAATGCTTCTTAAACATCTATGATCGAATACTAGTAACCTACGAACATCTTCTACTCTCACTGGCCATGTTTCACAGCCATATAAGAGAACGGAACGAACTGCTGCGCAGTACACCCGTCCTTTGGTTAGCGAACGGATATCACGCCTACGCCATAAGTGACGCAGGTTGGCAAAAGCCAATCGAGCCTTCTGTATCCGAGCTGAGGCTCAGATTATACTCAAATTGTGTATCATTCAGCTGTATGGTAAATAATTGTAGGTATTTAAAGTCCTCCAAGCTGACCACGTTAAATCTCTAAATACATTTCTGTGTACTTTCTGCAGGTAATTCATCTAGTTCGTTTCATCTAGATATACTGAATCTATCATATGAGACGTTCCAGATATTAAGATGATCGAAACATGAAGGTACCGATCCAGTTACAAACGTCAGTTTCGCTTTAAACTAGGTTACTTTTTTGAAAACGCTCAATGTGCTAAAAAACGAGTCATGGAAGACTATAAATGAAAGGGCTCAGACAAATTATTTAATCCATTTGATTGTCTTTCTTACAATAAACATTATGTTGATAACCAGTTTTGTGTGAACATATATTTTTCCGTATAAATTGTTCTTTTATAGTTACTCTTAGCTATGCTGAGCAGTATAACAGCTTCAGTTAGCTCACTGTGTAACATTATTTTCCGTTTTTGTTTTGAATTACTAATAAGTCAGTTTCCACAAAAATATTGGATACTTTTATGACAGTATAGTCACTCTAATCCACTGTCGACAGTATATCATTCAATAACCCATTGTCCTGGACCTGACAGTGTGAATTCTAAAGTTATCCATCTATACTGTTTCTGTGCTAATATTCTATTCAGTTTAAGATCGAACCCTAAAGCAATGGTTTTACCAGTGGACTTTCAACAGCTGGTTCTCTATTTCACTTTGCAAAACCGAGTATATAAATCTGGATCGTTCATTAAATATTATTTCTCAGGTTGGTTAACGAGATTAACGAATTCAGGTCTCTTATACTTATTATTAATAGTAACAGGATGAAAATTTTAGATGGATCATTCAACCTCACTAAGATTTTTTGTTTTACTCTGTTTATCTACTTTACATGGTTATTTTTATTCTAGAGATGTTTTGGCTTACGTAGCTAACAATCAAATTAAACCTGTTGTATCTAGTAAAAAAAAACCAGCTAGTGATATTTCTGCTACACAAACTGTCTCATCGACAGCCACTTTCACAGATATCATGTTATCGGATACAAGAAAAGTTATTGCTCAGCGTTTGTCGGAATCAAAATTATCTGTCCCACATGGATATGTTCACGCGACTGCTCATATAAGTCGTTTAAATGAATTGAGAAGAGAATTGGAAGTGAATTCGGGTTTAAATCTCTCCATAAATGATTTCATTATCAAAGCTTGTGCTTTAAGCTTAAGAGTAAGTTTGTTTTTGTGTTTGGTAAATTAATGCATTAATGTATATCATACAAACAAGCCGAATTATTGCCCAAATGGGATTCACACCCATTTTTTACCTTACTAATATTAAGTGCTTGGATTCGTTATTCACGATGTCTAAAATTGAAGAAAAAACATTACCAACAAGACCATGTTTCTCGTAAAAAGTTTTCGCTACAACTTTAGATATACAATTATGAATTGTAAGCTCAAATTTCCACTACTACCACTCGGTGTAACACTATATGGGATGCTATATTTGATTTTCTAGATTTTAGTTTTGGGGTAAGAAATTTTATTGTTATCTATGATTACCTGGTACTTGACAATTCTACTCAAAATATAAAAAGATTCAAACTAGACCAATGTCTTTCAGTATGAGTACCGTATCTGATGATATCGAACTAGATGTTTTATCTCAGTGATTTTCTTGAGTTTGTTTTTTGTGTTTTTGTGTAATCCTCGTTTTAGTGTCATATGTAATTATTTAATTCTCCAAGTTGTGTGAGGTACATGTAGGTTTCCTCATCATCTGATAGCCTAGTCTTAAAAATTAGCTGCCTGTTTCGGGAGAAAAACAGGACGTCAGAAGAATTTAATTTTTAAAACTGCTTATGAGTCAAGTTCATTCTCAACTCATCTTTTCCTTAGTATCTGAGAAATTTAGGATTCTTTGATATCTGTTTTTATTTTGGCCAAATCGATAGGCCTCCATGCAAGGCAAAATACGAGTTTGAGAATAACTTCTAGACAACTGTAAGGTGTTGTCAAACGAGATCTCACTAAAGTTTGTTATACTATTAACTAATATTCAGGTACACTCGCTGTCAAGAAATCACTATATTAGGTAATGTTTAAATAAATAAACTATTTATTCGTTTCTGGTCCACCCATAAGTGTCCAAAAATTATGCGTCTGTTTAGCTTTAACACGAATAAACACTTCTGGTACAGTTCTGCAACTGTTTCTTTTTTATTTATAATAAGCATCATATGGTCATAGCAGTGAAAACATATCATTTTTTGCATTTGTTCAGCTTGTTCCAGATTTAAACGCCATTTATGACTCGCAATCAGAATCTCCCATTTATCGAAGATCGGTTGATATAAATATGACGGTACCAACTAGTTCAGGGTTACTTACACCGATTTTGAATTCAGCAGATACACTTATCGTTTCTGATATTTCCAAGTTGTCGCGACAGTTATTTCAGAAGGCACAAGATGGTGTACTACAACCACATGAACTTCAAGGTGGGAGTTTCACGTAAGCGCTTGTTTAGAGCTTAAATCGTACATACATATGGTGTTTTTTGACGCTTTTTTGTAAATTGGGATGTGTAAGTATTCAAAACCATACATGTCGACATATAAAGCAATGTTTCAACCTGCAACGTAGAACTTGGTACATACGTACATCAATTCAATCTGCTGTGCCACATAAACACAAAGAGATCGAATTGACAACTCAAATCCCATAGTGCACCATTAGAAGTATTGCAAAAGGTTAGAGATCAAAGCTGTGATTCGAAAGACATCATAAAGCAATATAAACATAACATAGAGCAAATCGAGCCTTCTGTATCCGTGTTGAGATTTCGTCAGCCACCAGGCCATCAGCACCGATGAGACTCCAGAGATAGGTGAAGTAGTTAACACGCTCAACTGCTTCACTCCCTCTTAGGGGTTCAGGTGCCGACGCAAGTCAATCTCAAAGCAATATTTAGCATTTCGAGGAGGAAAACCGCATCCCGAACATGCTTGCGTTGTGTGCTTAGGGTAGTCAGAAGACTCTTAATGTTGTCAGCATATTCACCAAATAGAAATATGTCATCAGTATATTCTAAGTCACAAGTGGATCTCCTGATAGTTCAACTCCAAAAGAGTCGGACGATGAAAGTGTCGTCTCTCAAATCAGGTCAATGACAAAGTTAAATAAAGATGAAGAAAGTGGATAGTCTTGACGAGCATCATTGGAAGTGATTAATTGCGATGACAGTTCGCCATATGTTCTGGGACGGCTAATTCCCACTGACTGTCTATTAGTTTTGCTGCCGAACGGTCGTTGGCAGCGCTGGTGCTCGAGATCAGAGTACACCAGTATTCCTCGAAACTTGAGGGGTAGGTCGGTTCCTCTCTATAGAGCGTTTCCTACTCTCCTGAATGCGCCACGTCTGCTGCCTTTCTTGGATTAGTTCGCATCAACTACGTCAGAGATTTCGAATTTGCTCTTCTAATCTCGCTATAACTTGATTCCGCGAGTCCCCTTGGCTCGACCCGGAGTCTAATTCTCTTGTTCGAGTGTGGGAAAAACTTTCTTACGTATCAGTCTAAGCGTTCTCTAGCTTGCTCAACGCTTACCCGATCTTGAACTATCGCGTTCGCTAGTTTATAAAGCGTTTGCCTCTTTTCGCAAGTGGTGATAACGGCCCGCAAGAAGCTTTTACTCCAGTTCTCAGTCATCAAAATGTCATTCATGGCCACACTTGTCTTAAACAACGTTCAGAATAACAATGTGGTGATATCATCCAATTGTCTTCGTATAAGGTGAGGAGTTGCAAAAGCCTTGTTTGCTCCCCCTGTATAGGTCAAACTGGTGTGGATGTTTTCAGTGGTTGCTAAACCGAGATCGCGTTCCAAGGAGACGTTTGAGAGCGGGCTTTCGTTGACAGTATAAGTCTTTTGCTCCATATGGGGCAGAATGTACATAACTTGACATTTCGACTGGTTTAGTATTAAGCTGTTTTCTCACTGCCCATTCCTCAAGGTCAGTGAAATCCTATTCGCTTCTAATGGACCTTCAGATTTTTCATCGTCTGCGTAGATCATTGCCGCGCAGCTAAGTGTGTCTAACATAATATGGACATAATATGTTCACCTGTGACACTCCTGATATTGGGCCCGACTAACTTGCAGGCACACTATTCACCTTGATACGAAAATTTCCAAACTGAAGTTCGTTTCTATGCCAAGGTAGGAGTTGGTCAGTGAAGCCCATTTCCGCAACCTTCACGATTAGGCGTGCGTGGGGTACTGTGTCAAGGGCTTGTTTAAAGACAGGAAACATTATGTGCACCGGTGAATTAAGCACCATCATGTTTTTCAGCTATCCCATGCTATGAGAACAATAGATGCGCAAGACCTGGCTTTCCGAAACCCGTATTGAGCTTCATGGAGTATTTAATTCTTATTCATGTGCTCCTCTATCTGTTCGTTCACCAGCCCTTCCATTATCTCCTATACAATTGGTAGTAATAAAACTAGTCTATAAGAATAATAATAATAAATTATTCTCGAATAACAACCTGTTACAAGAGGAATGCCAATTTATAGGCAAGATCAAAGTGTTAAGATTGCTAACATATATTTTGTAAAACGTTTTTCAGACACCGAAACATTTTGGCTGAACTTGTGGGACAAACTCGACCCTTAGCCTTATGTAAAGTTTTGAGGGTTCCGATCAATTGTATCAGCCAAAGGCAGTTGAAGGCCAGTCGGTTGGATTGGCTGCTGGTTAGTGCGCTGTGGCGTAGCTCGGTAACCCGTCTCGGGGTGCCAGGAATAGCTGGGTAAGCCCTCCTTGTCGCCCATGCCGACTGAGGATTACGGGTAGTGAATTGGCTGGAGGGATCTTGTTTCTTTCATAAGTGCCCGAACGGGGGCCACTGATCGCGTGCGTACTTTTTGGACGTCCACTTGTCTGTAGACCAATCTAAACAACATGTGCGCTCCCGTATGGCGCAGGGGTGATCGCAATATTGGCTCTTGTGAGAATCTTTGTGCCGCTTAAAAAGCAGCGGCGTGCTGGTTAACCAAGAATATAGCCAAATGCCTCATCATCAAATTAGTGATTACGGATATTCCCACTAATCTAGCGAAACCACAGCCAGAGGGAACTGGGCTTGGCTAGAAATTAGCGGTGTTGAAAGAAGACCCTATAGAGCGTGGACTCTAGTCCGACTTTATCAGGAGACATGATGGATGTAGTATAGGGTGGGAGCTGGTGCCTTCGGGTGCTCGGCACAAATGAAATACCACTGCAATCATTGTTTTTTTACTTATTCAGGGAAACGGGAAACGAAATTGTATTTTGGTTCAAAGCACGTGCTGGGGTGCGTGGTCTATCGCTACGTACTTCGGTATCTTGGTCATGTCAGATGAGTCGTGGTGCAAATTACGGTGTTTGAGTCTTGATGTGATGTGCGACCCGTTCTGAAGACCATGTCAGCGGGAGAGTTTGACTGGGCGGTACCATCCGTCAAATGTAACGCGGGTGTCCTATGGTGAGCTCAGTCAGGACAGAAACCTGGCGTAGAGTAAAAGGGCAAAAGCTTACTTGATTTTGATTTTCAGTACGAATACAGGCCGTCAAAGCGTGGCCCATAGTTACTTTTGATGTTATTTTTGGAGTTTGAAGCAAGAAGTGTCAGAAAAGTTACTACATGGATAACTAGCTTGTGGCGGCCAATCTAAGTCTGAATCCCGTCCAAATTTGCCACGGTACATTCTGTATCCGACCCGTGCCTCGGCTAGTTTACCTTTTCCTTTTGGTGTCTGGACTGGACTATGTGTTCGGCTAGGCCCATTAGGTCTGGTGTTGTGCCAGAGCGATGACCTTAACCCGTGCTCCGGGTACGGGGTCGACACGATATCTGATTGTGGTATGAGTGTGAGGATACTAAATCGTTTGTAGACGACTTAATGTTTTGTCGGGGAGACGTAAGTGCTTGAGCAGCTTTCACACTGCGGAACACTGAATCCTATCCCTGCTCGACGTAATGATTTGAGGACTTGTCCCTAATCATTTCCCCTATACTAGGCTTCGGTCTGGTTGCTTGGTTACTGCATCTATGCGTATAAGTATATTGTGGTCTTGGCAAATGTATATCATATATGCATATACCGTATACTTGCAGTTGACTGGATCTGTGCATTCGTGTGTACTGAACTGTGCATAGGTGATTGCCAATGTGTTCAGTATACGTATATGCACGGATCTTGTATAGTTGCGAGCAAATTTTTTTGAGTCAGGTGTAGTCCGCGGCGTTTTCGCGAAAAAAATCGCGCGTTTCTTGGCGCGGCTGTTCTCAAAAGGCATTTTATAGTCCTGAAATATATTTCCCCCTTATAATAATATTAACTAGACTGCATCTCTGCTGCTAGTAGGAGACCATCGAGTTAAAGGTAGTCTCTCTATGATACATGGAAAGTGAAACCAACCGCGCTCTCTTCATAAAAGTGGATTTACTACAAACTACTTGAAGATAGAAGCGTGTATAAACCAATCGACACAAACCCAACAAAAGAGATGGACAACAAAATCTCAAGGACTCTAAATTGGCTTGTAAAAGCAGGACAAATATCAAAACAAGATCAATAGAGAATGAAATCCAGTGGACCAGTAATTCCACGATTCTACGGTATGCCGAAACTACGCAAACACAATATTTCACTACGCCAATTTGTATCCCTCCCAGGAACCCCGACCTACAACTTATCAAGAGAACTTTCAAGGATAATAAAACATCTGACGGATTGATCCAACTACTCCATTAAGTCTACCACACAAGGGGATTCAAATCTAAAACGACGAAACGATGATATCCTTTGACGTAAGAGCCTTTTCACCTCAATAGAATCAAGGTTATCGAAAGAAACTCTTTCCTGCTCCTCACCAACGACACAGATATGCAAAATATACGAAACTTCAGAGCCGAAGTCTGCTAGAACCCATGGCTCTATGCTTGACAACGGCTCAATGCTCCCCGGTAATTCCTTATGTTTAAAATTAACAGCCACCAGACACACAGACACAGCATTGGTGACATGACTTTTGTTTGTCCCGGATAACTCTAAGTTGTCAACTGATTTTTTCTGCACTCCTTGCTCAACATACCCTTAATGGAGTGGTTTACCCTCTCGTCAAATTTCGCTTTTTAAAGAAGCTACAGAAATTGGTCAGAGTACGCATCTTCTGTTTCAGTTTCATTTATCAAAGACAGATCTACTCTTCAGAAAATTACACTTGATCATCGGGGCATCAAATAAAATTTGCAAATTTTGATCAGTTAACTCTCTCCCATCTAATGGCGTCCTAAAGGTTTAAGTTGTTGCCGTTTCTCTTCCTGAATCTCACTCACTACCCCGTACCTCTGAGACATATTGAAGTATTTTCGATAACTGGTTATTCATTTGGTGTATGAGAACGGTGTGTTAAGTTGGTTAGGACTAACTGGTTTCCAAATTAAATATTTTAGTGACTACTATATTATTCCTTGGTTTCCTCACGCTGGAGCTCAATTACGTCTTAAAGCCCATAGTATCGTCCAAATGGAAAAGTGTAAATGGTCATCTGCTCTAATCCTTTGACGTATATTCATGATGTTTAGTTGCCAATTTCGTTTTTACCATTTATTATTTTTCCCCTTTTCAGTTTCAGTAACCTCATCACACTCCTCAAATATTGGCGTGGGATAAACTGCCGAAAGACTTAGTTTGCTTTTACTTTGGGGCGTGCTAAACTTATCTGATGAATCTTACAAGAAGATGCCCTTGCACATTTTACCTTATCCGTGTTGTCTGTTATATGCAG